GGGATTTGCCCTTTTCCTATCCATTTCCATGACCTGCCCTTACCAGGAGCCCCGTGGGACCCTGTGGAAGGGGATGTGTGGGGCCAGGTTGGCATTGTCCCCGCAGGAGGTGTCCCGTGTTGATCCTCATCCCCGTGAGAGCTGCAGCCATGGAGAAAGGGATGTTGTGCATCCCACAGCTCCCACCAGGTCTCTGGTGGCCGGGGAGGAGCAGATGCAGCGGGGGCGAGACACTCTCAGGTCGTTATTTACAGCCCGTGACTTCTCTCAGTGAAGTTTTGCTCCTTTTTTTCTGGTTGTTGAGTTATCTGGGAAAGGATCACTGTTTTCTCAAATGTATTCATTATCCAGAATTATTTGGGGCCTAACATAGGGGGATCTTTCCACTGACTTAGCTGGGTTTTGGATTAGGCCCTTAATGAATAATTTCTGCAAATAATTCTTGGCCTGTGTCTTGTTCACAGGCAGTTTACTGCAAGAATTCAAAAGTCAAGCTGCTTTATTGGCCGTATAGGTCACTGGGGATTGTTTCCGTTCCCTGAGTAGATGACTCTCTGCACCGGGGCTTCAGCACACACATTCTGTATTAATTCAAAATTTGCTTTCTATGAATATTTTACAAGAGAGCCTTAAAATTCACTGTTTCCATGGACATTCCTCCTTGTAACTCATTCTGTTTGCTTGAATATTAACTGAAGGCAAACAGAGCAGGGCCGTGCGGGGATTCCAGCCGAACGCGCTGGAGGAACGGGCATGGAGGCTGGGGGGGAATTCCACTGAGGAGTGCTCCACAAATGTCAGTGCAGATGAAATAAATAATCCTACTTGCTCCGGCCCTCGCCTCTGCTCCCTCCTGCCTCTGCATCCCACCGGCTGCCAGTGCTTACTCCAGAAGGAAGGGAAGCAATCCATTCTCACCTGGTGATCCGGGCTGTCCTTCCTCACCAGGATGGAAGGACTTGCGGCTGGAAGCATTAATGAAGTGTGGAAAGTGTGGAGTGGTGGTTGTATGTAGCTCACAAAGCACCTGTGAGCAGTCCTGCCCACACCACGTGCTCCGGGGGACCCTGGCTCCTGGGACCCTGGGACCCTGGCTCCTGGGACACGTGTGCTGGCAGGGACGGACAGGGCGACCTGCTGAGCTGCTTCTGCTGGCAGCAGAGCCCCAGGCAAGGCAGTGATTCCCATCCAGCTCCAACAGGCTGGAAGACACCCCATCCCTGGAAATGTTCAAGGCCAGGTTGCACAGGGCTTGGAGTAACCTGGTCAGGGGAAGGTGTCCCTGTCCGTGGAAAGGGGTTGGACTAGATGACTATTAAAGGTCCATTCCCACCCAAACCATTCTATGGCTCCATGGTTCCATGTTTCTCAGATGTGTTACTGGGAGGTAGCAGGGAGAGGAGCCCCTGCCAAAGCCATGAACTCCCCTCAGCCTCAGGCCTCCCTCTCCTTTGAGCTGTTCCTGCAATCCCAAAAGGGCATCCTGGGACCTGAGTCCTGCACTAAGTTCTGGTGGAGGAAGACCAGTGGGAATGGAGTCTGCTGGTGTAGACTGGAGGGGACAGGTAGGATTTGACCTGGGCAAGTTGGTCCTGCTCCGGACCTGGAGGGAAAAACAGTTCCTGGGTGATTGCACTGCAGGACCAGGAGGTTTGCACCATCCCCTCTTCTGAGGGAGCCAGATCTGAAGGGTCACATTCATCTCCTAGTTAGGGAGAGGGAAAACCAGAACACCCCGGTTGACCTCAACCCCTCAAGTGCCTATTTCCACCAGTGCACTCCAAGGGGGAATCTGGCCGGCAGCTTCCAGGCTGTCAGATCCATCACCTTCCCAGGAAGCTGGAGAAGAAAGCACATGTTTCTGGCTGTCATGTATCAAGGAACTGAGGAACGGGGAGGGCTCTGCCTGGCGGAATGTGTGCTGCATTTGGGCTGAGATTCTAATGGATTCTGATGCGATTTTTTTCCTTATTTCTACCAGGCCATCTGGATTTGTTTCTGTGAGATGCTGGTTTAATACACTTAAAATTTCCCATTGAGTCTCATGCACCAAAGAGGGGGGAGGAGGCGAATGAAAAGCAAATTTAATAACAGAAAGACCTGAAATCTATTAAATATACATTAAAATACATTTGGTTTCCCAGTGGGTGCAAAGTGCCATAACGTTTTACTGGGTTTATGACGCTGGCAGAGGCTCTGAATGAAAATGGAGGAGAGAGTCCAGGGTCCCTGCTCAGTAGTTCACGGCGGAGAGAAAGAGTCGTCTGCAGTTTGCTAACGCAGCAAAAACGGAAAAGGCTTCTCGGGTAGATCCGCAGAGAGCGCGTTCCACATGTGTTTCCGTTAAGGATGTTCGCAAAACCTGAACAGCAAGAGACGTTCAGGTTCTCAAATTAGTTGGGACTCTCATTTTCCCTCTCGTGCTACAGCTCTGGCAGGGCCCCTCCACGCAGCCTCCCCCCGGCTCCCTCCCGCTGCTCCACAGCCACGGATTTGGAAAGCTGTGCAGAGGGGCTCTGAGGCTCCAGGCTGCTTCTCTGCCCAGGGAAAAGTGTCACGTCCAGAGGCAGGGCTGGATCCGTGGGCTCAGGTTTTCTCACCCCTGTCGTGAGCAGGGAGCGGGTCAGTGACACCGGGGCTCCTGCAGCCTGTCCTGATCCATCACGCAGAGAGCACATGGCATCCCTGTGGGATGGCGCTGCGAGCCCTGGGATTGTCACAGCTCTGTGCAACACCTCTCATTTTCAGAAGATTAAATCCCCCTGTGCGTTGTCATGTGGTAAAACACCAGCACAGGCTGCCCAGAGGGGTGGGAAACATCCAAGGTCAGGTTGGACAGGGCTTGGAACAACCTGGTCTAGCGGAAGATGTCCCTGCCCGTGGCAGGGGGGTGGATGAGATGGCCTTGGAAGGTTCCTTCCAGCCCAAACTGTTCTGTGATGGTGCCCTATGCACCCAATGCCCATTGGTCCCATTTCCACAGAATCCCATTTCCCTGCTCCTGCTCCCACCCCGTTCCCCCAGCACCCAACCATCCTCATGAGGTGGCACTGCTGGTTTATCTGGATCTGCTGGTCTGGCTGCTCCATGTCCCACTCTGTGCTGTGCCTCACTGGTCAGGACCAGCTCAGGGGCTGAATTCCTCCCTTCACTGATTCAGGCTCTAGCACTTCCATCCAGAGAGGCCAATCCTCACAGAGCAATTTGCCAACGGGCTCAAATGAATCCCTGGATCCTTCCAAAAAGGACAAGGGGACATCCCAGGTGAATAACCTTCCCCTTGGTGAAGGCCATCCCGTGTAGGCTCAGTCCCTCTACATTCCAGGCATTTGCATCCAGCACAAGGGGCTTTTCTTGGCACGTGTGTGCACATATGTGTGTGTGTGTCCGTGTGCATGTATGTGCTTATGGCTGCGTGTGTGTGTGTGTGTGTCTGTGCACATGTGTGTGCACATGTGTGTGCTCCTATATGTGCACATGTATGTACATGTGTGTGCACATGTGTGTGCATGTCTGTGCACATGTGTTCATGTGTGTTCATGTCTGCACGTGTGTGCGTGTGTGTTCACGTGTGTGCACGTCTGTGCACATGTGTGCATGTGCACATGTGTGTGCTCATGTGTTTTCATGTCTGTGCATGTGTGTGTGTGTGTGTACATGTGTGTGTTTTCATGTCTGTGCGTGTGTGTGTGTGTGCACGCCCCTGAGCAGTGCCCGGACAGGGATGGCAGAAGGGATGTGGTGATATGCAGAAGGGTCGGTGTGTGCCCTTGGAGCGTGTGCTGGGGCCGGTGCCGGGATGGATTTCCCAGGGACTGTGGGGTCCTGGAGGTCCCCATCCTGGGCTCTGCCTGGTGCCCCAGCCCCAGGCATGGTATGGCACGGCACGGCTTGGCAGGGCTTGGCACAGCGTGGTGAGGCTGTGTGTGTTCCCGGCCCCCCATGTCCGTGCCAGCCCCGCTCCCCACCAGGCCGGCAGCAGACGTTTTGGGCAGAACGAGTCATCACCCGGCCAAATTTCCATGCTGGGAGGGAGACTCCTTCCTGTGCCAAAGGCAGGACGAAGCTCCCCCAGGCTGGGGTTAGCCAGCAGTCCGGAGATAATGGGAAGATGTTAAGGCAACACAGCTGGCAACCATCAGCACGCGGCTCCATTGTTCCGAGGGAAGAGGAATACCGACCTCTGGCCGGCAGTGGGTAGAGAACAGCAACAGGACAGGCTCTGGAAAGGAGACCAAGACACAGCCAGGATGGCTCACAGATGATTAATCTCGCAGGGAGCTGCTCCCACAGCTCCAACAGCTCCAAGAGTCCCGGCGCTAATGAGCCGGTGGATGAATCCCACCACGCCGACTTTTAACGACAAGCTGGACAAGATTCAGCCCTTCCTCTCCCCCTCCTCGTTCCCACAGCCACCCCTACCAAACCCCACCGAGTTCTGCTTGGCCCTTATAAATCCCTCCTCGTGTCAGCACCAAACTTGGGAAACTGGGTGAAAAGGACAGTGTTTGGAGGGAGTTATGGGGGTGGACACGGGTGGTTGGGTTCCCTCTGCTTGTCCTCTCCTGGGCAGCCCTCCAAGCCTCCAGCAGAGCCAGCGGTACAGTTCAGCCTGAGCATCTCTGGCTTGGTGGACCCGAAACAGTCGGGTCCTGCAGACCTGGCAAGTGCATCCACGGCCAATCCGCCGCATCCTGCTCCCAGAGCTGGCAGCCACGAGGCCAGAGCTGGGCTCTGGCTCCCCATACCCTGCCAGCCAACACCACTGAGAGGCCCCACAGCCCCAGGGACACGCTCCCGGGGTCGGGAGAGGAGCGTCACCCTTGGCTGCAGCCACAAAGGAGGAGGGAGAAACGCCGTTCCCCGGCCACATGGCACAGGGAGCCGGCCGCAGGGATGCTGCCTTCAGTGCTCTCGTCTGCGCTTCCAACCGGAGCAGGGGAACTTGGAACGGGTTCAGAAAAGAGCTGGGAGTGAGTCAAGGCAGTGGAAAATATGCATTACAGTGACAGAGCGAAGAAGCTCCGGCTGTTTGGTTTATTGAGGAGACCAAGAGGTGGCTTGCTCACGGTCCACGAGCATATGCACGGCGAGGAGATTTCTGATAGCAGACGGCTCTTTAATCTAGCAGGAAAAGGCATTACTACATCCCTCGCTGGAAGCCGAAACAAGACAAATCCAGATTAGAAATAAGAAGCACATTTTTAGCAGTCAGAGCAATTAAGTGTTGGAACGGATCCCCGGGGACAGAGTGGGATCTCCATCACTCAAAGTCCTTTAATGGAGACTGAGTATCTTTCTAAAAACTAAGTTCCAGTTTGAGCATAAGCGATGGGTTCTCTGCCAAGGCAGCGGCTGTGGAATGCTGGAGGTCAGCCTGGCTGGTCACAGTGGGCCCTTCTGGCCCAAAAATCTATCGGCTGTGCTGTAATTTTCTGAAATGGGCAAAAAATAACCCAGGACCGGGTTGGTGCATTTCTCGCCCTGTGCACTGGGGTTTGCATGGAAAGCTTCAGGGATGGGGTTCAGTCCCACTGCCCAGGGAAGAGCTGCACACACTGGGAAGGCGAGGATGAGTCAGGGCTGGAGTAACTGGTGCTCCAGAGTCACCACAACATATCCCTTCTGCTCCACTGCGTCCCCATGGCCAGCAGCCACAAGGAGTGTTGATGCTGGGGGACAACCACCATCCCCCAAGACATCCCTACACAAAGAAACTTCCCCTGGGCAGCTCTGGGAGGTGCAGGTTCATGCCCAGCCCAAGGTGAAGCAAACACAGATGGGAAACCTGTCAGGGTTAGAAGGAAACCGGCTTTGAATGGCTCCCTTTTAAATTAATTTAATTCCATTTTTAATGATTATTTTCAGGTGCTTTTAGTCCCTAACAAAAGGAGCTTTAAAGTCTCCAGGAGCAGTGACTGTTGCAGAGGGGGCGAGGGAAGGTGGGAAGCCCCTGGGACTTCGTTAGGAATGCTGGTGCCGATCGGAAGCGGCCGCTCAGCACGACACACACCAGCCTGAGCAAAGCCTGGCAATTAGGACAAGTCCACCAAAACCCCCTTATCCCTGTCCTTGCCCCCTGGAAAGGCTCAAGGAACAGATCCAGGTGATACAGCGTGGTCAGACACAGAGGCACCGTGCCCAAAGGCAGCGCTCCCATGCTGGAAGCTGCCTGATCCTGAGGGGATCCAGCAAATCCAAGCTGCCCATCCCACAGCCATCCAGAAGTACCATGAATCCCTTCCGTGATGCTAACGCTGGCCCATCATTGCTCCAGCTGGGCACTGGGTGTCCTCAGCTCTTCCAGCTCCTCCAGCCCCGTGTGTTTGGCCATCGGTGCCATCACAGCCCTGGGACTGGGGGAGATGTTCTGTGAGCACCACAGGGAGTCACAGAACCACGGAATCATAAAATGGTTTGGATGGGAGGGACCGTTAAAGACCATCTAGTCTGACCCCCTGCCATGGGCAGGGACACCTTCCACTATCCCAGGTTGCTCCAAGCCCTGTCCAACCTGGCCTTGAAGGATGGGGCAGCCACAGAATCTCTGGGCAACCTGTGCCAGTGTTGTACCATCCTCATTGTAAAAAGTCTCTTCCAGCAAACCACTGGAGCTTCCCAGCTGTGGGATGATGCCCATGGTCGGCTACTGGATGTCTCATCACCAGGTGGGATGAGGCTCAGCCTGGCAGGGACAGCAGGGGGAGAACACACGTTGAATATCCCTCTCCATAGGGATTGGAGGACTTGAGGTTACCTGGTGCTGCACCTCTGTGCTCGATGGAGGTGTGAAACAAGGTCAGGAATAGTCAATCCACACCAGAATAAGAAGCAGATGGACAGAAGGATGAAACAAGAGCTCTAGGGGTGGAAGACAATCCAGCAACACCTGCCACTTGCCTACAGAAACCCAAGAGATGGTTATGACCCCATCAGCTCAGAATCTTCGGGCTTTTGATACTTTATTTAATTTAAAACTCCTCTCTCTCATCCTTAATTGCATTTATCGTCATTAAAATATCAACAGAAGATCCTGGCTCCGGCCCAGGCTCTCTGGTGCTCCCAGGAAGTTTCCCATTTATTTGATGGATTTAGCCAATGCCCTGCCACCTGCTCTTGGCTCTGCCCTGCTCTGTTTGCAGAGGGCAAAACATAGTCAGGGGTGAAGTGTGAGCCAAAAAATAAAAGCAAATCAATGTGGGCACAGAAATTAAGCTATTTTGGACCAGTTGGAGTGGAGGTGAGGCAAGATTCAACCCAGAATTCACAAACCCCACCCTGACAGGCTGAGGGATTTCTGGTGGCATCAGTCCATCTCTCTGAGCTGTGAGTGTTCAGTATTCATGGAGTATTCATGGAGCCGTTTCTCTCTTTCAAAAGGAGTAATAAATATGAATTAAGTCTCCCAACCACTTTGGCACGACTCAGATTCTACAAATGGCAGAAATTAAAGGCAGAGCAGAGAATGGCTGATTGGTTGCTGATGAAGGCAGGGCTGAAGGAGGGGGAGGTTGGTACCAGCACCTCCCAAAGCCAGTGCCTGGAGCTGCAAACCAGTCTTTGCCTCCTCTCTTCTGCCACCTCCTTCGGCCTCTGCCCCTCTCTGGATTCTCACAGATGGGCAGCAAGGGCCTTCCTGAGCCCAGGAGCCAGAAAATGATGGGAAACAACTGCCTTATGCTCCCTCTGGAACCCAGGAGGTGTCTATGTGTGTGTGTTCATAGTCCCTGAACTCATCTCACAGACCAGCCTCCATCGAGGCCAGGTTAGACAGGGCTCAGAGCGACCTGACCTAGTGGAAAGTGTCCCTGCCCATGGCAGGGGATGAAATGGGATGGGATTTATGGTCCCTTCCAAATCGAACCTTGGTGTGATTCCATGATTCTAAGGCTGTCCCCTCTCCAGTGGTGGGGAAGAAGCAGGAGGTCATGGGGAGCTCTGCCTGCCCAGGAAAATGTGCTTTACACCACTGGGGCACCAGCTCTCCAAGAACACAGAGTAGATCATCAGCTGGTCACTGTGGGGAGACAGGAAAAATCCCATGGCAGTGGAAAAATCCCATGTCCTTTTTGGGGATGTCCTCGGGGGATAAGAGACCCAGAGATAATGCAGAGACTGACAAAAAGACAGCACAGCTCCCCCCTTCCCTTTGGGCAGGGCTTTGATTTCCTCCAAATCACAAGTCAGCTGCTCCCTCCTGTTTTCTTCCCAGAAGAAAGACAATACATGTCTTCAGCTTTCCAGCTCTGCCCAGGGCGGCTCTGTCAAACAGAAAATGGGAGGCACAGAGTGACTTTGGGATCCCAAATGGAAGCAAAACCCAGACACATTTGCATGTGAGCATTTTTGCCGTCTCTGGAGCAGCAGAATTGCCTCTCCGTGGACTTCTGTGGTTCCACTCCGGGTTTGTGATGAAATGTGTGGCACGGGGAGGGGTTCATTAGCAAAGCCTCGGGAAGGTCTTGCAAAGCCCTCAAGTTCTCCAGCATGTTACCACAGGGAGAGCCAAAGAAAGCTTCCTGGCTCCAGTTCAGGGCTGTCTTTATCACAGGAGGCCTTGGAACAGGGCAGGGAGGAGCAGAGCTCTGGGTGCTGCCCAAATGCACAGCTCTGTCTCCATCCCGTCCTGCCCCACGGTGAGACACCCATGGGATGAGCCATGGACATCTCCCAGGGGCAGGAAGGTGTGGAATGATGCTCTCAGTATCCAGGCTCTGAGTGATAGAGTCAGACAGCCAGAGCACAGCTTTCCCTGGCCAGGGGAACCCACCAGTGCCCCACCAGTGCTCTTGGGCCACAGCTTCAGCCCCAGGCTGAGGGTGGGGTGTGGGCTGCACCCACCACATAATGCACAGACCCTCTGGGTGCTGTTTGTCTTCACTGTGTCTTCCAAGCCCTTTTATTGCCCCTCTTGAAAGGAAAACTTTCAGACTTTGTACTGGTGATGTTTGTCAGACAAAACCCCTCCAGAGAAGTCCTCTGAGGGAAACAAGACTCTGGTTGTGGCTCCCCTCCCACTCCCTGGGTGCTCTCAGGTGTGTCACCAATTCCTCGTGTGTGTGGAAACATCCCAGCCTGCTGAGCAGGGAGCCCACCCTCCCCGGGCACTCACAGGGGGCTGAGGGGAGGTGAGGTGGTTCCCCAGCCCAGGGAGGGGGACAGAGAGGATGGGGTTGGCAGTCACGTGCCTGATGGTATTTCTGGAGCGTGGAACAAGGTGAGTTTGAAGGTACCTCCCAAACCAAACCCTTCTGGATACTCTGACTCTTTGTGCTCTGTGATACCTCAGGTTGCTTTGCACCAAGGATGGGTCCAAGGAAGAGCTTTCCCTCCACAGCCTGGAAAAAGGGATGAAGCAGCAAGTAGATGCTTCCATGCCTCCTTCTGCAGCCCAGAGAGTGAGAGGTGCCCGGGGCGAGATGCCAGAGGAGTTCTGGGCTCCAGTGAGGGCCTCTACCAGCAGCACAGGGCAGCTGGCTGGTGGGGGACACCCAGCAGACAGTCGTGTGCCACACAGGCAGATTCAGCACTCCAGATGGCACAGAGATAACTAATTACTTGCTAATTAATAATCAGTTCCCTGTGATTTTATCTTAATTGGGCTCTTTGCTATCCAGCCTTCTACAGCATTTCCCTGGTTTGGAGTGAGCAGTGCTGGGCTGTGGCCCCCTGGCCGCTGGAGTCCCCATTCCCTGACTGGGAATGAAGGGAATGTCCCCATTCCCTTCCCAGTGTGGGAAGGGGGTGAGTGGGATAGCCCTGGGAAGCCCTGGGAGCTTTCAGAGCTGTTGATGGGAATGCTGCACCTCGGGGCATCACCACAGGCTTTGTTTGCCTATAAAACCCAGAGCACTTATGGTGGAGTATGAATAATAAATACATTAAAATAATCAATAGCAGGAGAAAAGCTGGGTCAGGGCTGCCAGGGGTGTGCAGTGACATCCTACCTTTCCTATCCATGCCTTTCCTATCCAAGCCAAGACAGGACATTACCTTGCCATCCCCAGTGGAGCTGACACCACTACACCCCCCCAACCTCCCTCTTACCGGACCCCAGACTCCCCCAGATCCACAGGCCCCCATTCCCTGAGATCCCAGCTGGCACAGGCTGGTCCAAGCAGTCCTTGCCAGCCTGGCATATGGTGACTGTCCCCCTGGACCTGCTGCTCTCCTGTCAGCCCTGGCCTTCCCCAGGGGAAGCAGCATCACTGCCCCGGATCCCTGACTTGGAAAGTTCAACCACATCCGCATGGATTGTGAGGGGAAGAGACACAAATCATGGAGCACTGCTGGGATTTCCTCCTGGGAAAGGAGCTCCTGCACAGTTAGCACACACGGGCTGTAATGATCCCTTGCAATAATTGTGGGTGGGAAGGAGGCGTGTGAAGGCAGGTGCTGAGCGATCCAGGCTGGGGGGTGTCCTGTGCCAGAGGGGTTTGTCCCCCAGCCCTGGGTGCCAGCAGCCGGAGGGGATGGAGGGGCTGGGAAGAGGAGCACTGGCTTCCAGAAAACACGGATTGTGTTCAGTCTTGCCACTGCCTCCGGGCACAACCGAGGGGCAGAGGACAGTGAAGCATCACAGTGAAGCATCACACCACAGCAACTCTGGGCTGGTAAGGGTTGGCAAGTTCCCCCCCGGGTCCTCCCTAACAAACAGCCCAACATCTCCAGGACCTGTCCAGCTCATGGCTCAGTGGTATGTCCGAGCTGTGCCGGCACCCTCGGGGCTGAGCTGGGTCCCCACAGGGACCCCCATATGTGGTATCGAGATGGGGAGAGCTCGGGGCACCGAGAATCCCTGGGAGAAGATTTTACATGATTTATTCATATTCCAGGTATTTTGGTGCGTTGGCTGTAATTAAAGTTCAACATCTGAGGCAAAACAAGAGCAAAAACCTTCCAACCACTTTAAAGAGCGACTTTGAGTGAGGAAAGTAATAAAACACACCGTGCTTAAACAAATCCTTCCGACCTTTCATCATTCCCCTTCCCAGCCCTGGCTAATTATCAAAGCTATCTGTGTTCGAGAATGGGCCCCTTTCCCCCTCCACCCTGCCTTGCAGCCCCAGTCCTTCCTCCACTGTATCCCAGTTCTTCCCAGTAATCACCAGCAATGCCAGGCTCTGGCTGGAAGGAGCTGGGGGGGTCCCAGCCCCGGGGGTGCTGTCTGGGGTCCCCCCAGCAGTGGAGGGGAGGTGACAGCAGCCCCCAAGGAGGGGACATCCTTTCGGGGTAGGACAGGGTGCTCAGCATCCCGGGAGCTGCTTTGCCTGTGGCTGCCCCTCATCCCCATGGAATAACAGAGCCCTTATATCCCAGT